AATAGAAATCTGATATTTGAGGAACATCCTGATTGATAGGCAGAGGTTAATGACCAGAACCCAAATAAATACAAATAAATACCTAATGGTATTGAATAATATAGTTGAAGTCCACTGAGGCATTTCTCTCTACTTGCTTTGTTTTGGAGAAGGACGGGGAAACCAATGATCCACCACAAACCAAGGACCTGTCTGCTCATCTATCACTGAAAATACCAGCATGAGCAGAGGGTCAAGAAATCACTGTGACCTCACATAGATGAGTGCAAATAGTGCACCTCTCCTGAATTTAATGGCCATATGTGTGCTGGCATGTAATTAGAGCTATAGATCTTGTAACAGGAAAAAGCTGCTAGTAGGTCATAGCATGACTTGTATAAAAGAAACAGCTCTAAGTACAATTAGATAGAACATTATTCTTTATTCATCCTCACTTAATGAACCAAACTAAAAACAAAAAAAAGGGGATTTTTTTTTTTTTGACAAAATTATTTAAAACTAATGCACATGCAGGGAAGTCCCGAGGTTTGATTGTATCTGTAGAGATTAATGTAAAAATAGAAATTATTCTGATGAAAAAAAGCATCTCCTTGAGTGTGTTTTGTTTTTCTCACCTTTCCTCTCCCTGCTGCTCTTATCTCAAGAGTCCAAGTCCCAACTGCATAGATGAATGCAAACTCTCCCATGTATGCCCCAGGATCTTGAAAGATATGATGGATTACAACAATCAAACAATATTTCATGAGTCCCAGCTGGCTGTGAGGCGAGCCATTTAAATTCGTAGGAGAATAGCTCCCGCTGCCTATTTTTGGCCCCTCTGTCTTCACATTTTTCCCACCGATGAGTCACATTCTGTTCCAAACCTGCTGTGGCGCCGCGATATCAAGACATACCAAATGCTGCTGATTAATATCTTGGATGACAGTTCGCCTCCTTCCCAATAATGTTTATAATAAAACTGGAATTAATCCTGGGCTTCCCTTGCTTCTTCTCAGTCCTCACTGAAGGACTGCTGCTGCACTGATTTTCGCTAAATCAGTGCAGCAGCAGATGTCTTCAGGTTTCTGTTAATGTTTCAAATCGCAGAACAAATTCTGAGATAAACATATCAAGAGAGCTGAAACCTGGATGTTTACACAACAAGGTTGTTGATTCTAAATCTCCCACTATTATCCCCCCAAAATATGAATTTTTTGTAAAAGAGAAATAATTATTGCTTGTCATTCATAACACAATTAGTAAACTGGTAAAATATTTCATGCTTTTTATTTTTTGCATTTATGATGATGCCTTACAGGTAAAGAGTCCCAGAAATTTAAAATATTTCATCAGACCAATCAACAAAAAGATGCTATAAGTACAAATGTCAGATTTCTGAAAAGTATGAACACGTCTATGCAGTTGTGTTAGGGCCCCTTGCATGATTGACTACATCATTGCAATGTTACGTAGAGCTGATCAGCCTGTGGCTCTAGGAGTTTCCATTAATTACCCTTTTCATATTATTCTAATTTTAAGTTGGATAAAATGCGACATGGCCATTCTGACTGCAAACGTTGTGAAAACGATCAAATATGTATGTGATTTAGCATGTGGAAGGGGACAAGTCGGGTTTTTCAGAATTGAGCCGTTCAGACAGACAGGATGTGGCATTCCTTACACCACATCAGGGCGTGGTGTTATGCATGGCATTACACAAAGATCATTTCTGATCAGAAGATCGTCTGATCAGAAGAAATGAAAATAACATACTCTTTGACTGCAATAAATGATCACATGTTGCCACCTTGTGACCAAACTCGACATTATGAAGCAAACTTAGCCGTATAGCTTACCTGCAGCGCCATTCCTAGGATGTATTAATGTGAAAGTTAAAATAACCTGGTAACAGACTGATTGGAAGAAATAAAAAAATGATTTAGAAATGGGAAGAAGAATGGTAAAGTTCACTTCCAAAAATATGACATCTACTAAATAAGTTTGGTTTCTTGTCTTGATGGTTTGTAGAATAAACCTCTTTTCTTCTTTTTTCTCTTTTTTTAGTCAGTGTACTACTGAAAGCCTTGTATTTAAATAGAAGTGACAAATTGTCACCTCCACTTTTCTACAGGAGAGTGTGTCACTTGTCACTCCAGAAGTGGATTGTGAAATGCTGCTCTTGTGAAATAACTAATAATCCTGACAAACTAGAAGTTGTGAAGTGGCAACAGATTTTCCAGTTTACGGTTCAGGCTGACTGTTAAAATAACCCTTTTACTATAACTGAATTTGTCTAAGTGTCCATTACTGACAAGGACTCAAGTTTCATTGCCTTAAATGAGTTAGTTAAAATAACATAAAATACATAAACCAGGCTTAGAATAATCAAATAAAGAAAATATGAAAAGTTGTGCTCAGTAACCTTAAAGATTTATTTTTGATCATGTTCAATCAAGGCGACAAAACTATGAAGCTTACCAAAAACTGCCTGTGCTGAGCCAAACAAGATGGCTGTTAATGAGAACTGCAGGCTAAAAACATTCCTCTTGCTCTGACTTTAAGTGCTAAATGTTTGGAAATATGTCCAGCACAGACTGAATGGCTTTGTTCACTTCCTATGCTGCCATAGTCAAACCATAACCACAGATACAATTCTCAAACAGCGCAGAAACTCAACGGCATCGTTAACAACTCCTCCTTCTCTTCACTGATTGCCCAGGATGCATCCCGAGAAATCCAGTTCAATGGGAGAAATATGAGATGGAGCACTGAAGGAAGACGAGAATCCATTGGAAAAGGAAAACAACGGCCAGGCAATATCGGATGTTTTGGAAAGTGTAGCAGTATTTAACAGAACACTTTCCTATGCCACAGGGCAGAACTGCAGTGATTAGATCTTGGGGATCGTCTGACAAACTGTTGGCAGCTTCTAGTCCCAAAAACAACCATTCACTCTTTCAAATGTCTCTAAAATGTTCCGTTTCTCTCAAGGCCATCCACTGAGTTTTTTGCAACCTGTAACATCTTCAGCTGCCGTCAGCTTTTCAGCAACGGGCCACTTGCCGAAAGCTTAGCTTTAAATAGTTGAGTTTAAACACTGTGCCATTCTTCTTAGTTCACCCTGGAGCGGACGACTGGCTGACTCAGTCATTTTTTGCTGTTCTTTGATCCACTCGAACAGTTCCATTTTCCTCCATGTCTTTTTGTTCTGGTTTCCATTTTGAAGCATTTAGGACGGTTTTAGCTGAGCTGCATCATTTTCACACTTCTTTAAGCCCCTTTCTCCTCTCCAATTAACTTTTTATTCAAGGTAAGCTGTTCTTGGGAACAATGTCTGGTGTCACTTCACTCAGAGGGAAGCAGACTATAACTAGTGTGTACAACATTTACTGACTTCTTTAAATAAGGACCACTGTCAGAATCAATAACCTCACTTTGGTTTGATTCTGTGTCGTACCTGTAAAGCTTTGTTACTGGAACGGTTGTGAGCGCACATGGAAAAGGGACGTCTGCACCACATTAGGCGTTCTTTCTTTTCCCTACAAAGTGCCAAACACACAAATTCAACAGTGGCTGTGCTCATCTGTATGAATGGATAAAGCCGTACTCTCTGTGAGTGCAGTACAACTGTCTTACCTCCACCTTGACAGATGACTGGCTGCAGAGTGAGCCCTTCACAGGGAGACGTAGCAGAGAGGAACGCTCTGCAGGAGTTGTGCTCCTAAATTTCTTCTCACATGGAGATGCAGATGTGAACAGATAAAGGGCTCTCGACAGTTAAAAGGAGACGTTTCAAGCAACTTAACGTTGTGATGTTTTTATCCAGGCAGAAAACCTCTATTGTCTCGTTCATCTGCTCAGGCTCTGTGAACAGCAGCGCTGTGTGTAGGGAGGGATCTGTGTCAGATTACCTGCTGGAGCATCCCCATGGTGGCGGGTGTCAACCAGTAGGAGATAACAAAACAGAAATATCATCCTTTTCTTCCAAACAAAATGGGTTCTTAGCTTATTAATGGCTTGCTCTTTTAACTTATTACATTTTTTTCCCTTCTCCAGGGGTAAAATATAAATAAGAGCGAATGGTGCTGTATACAAATCCATGCAAAGTTTTTCAGATTTATATATTTATTTTTTTCTAGCTATATTTATTAATCTTTGTTTTTAAGAACAAAACTCAACACCAAACAAAAGCTCAGCAACACAGTTTAAAGGAGAAACCAAAGAAAGTTTCAGGACTTTCCTGGGTCAGACTTTAGAAAAGGTCAACAGGGCAGGAGCCCCGGGGCCGACAGTTAGGGACCCCACAGATTTTTAGTTTGTGTTTTTATTTGTGTGTGTTTTTTTTTGTTTTTTTTTTTTTAAAGAAATGTGTATTTTACAAACATTGTACTTTATTTAAAACTCCTGGCGCGAATCATTGTGAATTGTTTAAATATTTTAGGATTTTATGAAAATGAACAAAACTCAAGTATTTGAATAATATGAAGTTATGGTACTTTTTGTGTACAACATGGAGCTACCAACCAGGTAGCATATTAGACCTGCATCAGTTCAGAACCGCTGATGTAAAGGAGTGCATATTAATGTACTTTAATTTGCAATAGTAAAATCTTTTTTACTAATAGAAACTGGCTCCAGCCCTGCGGCCCACACCCTGTAAATCTGACCATGATGACCGTTTATACATTTTCAACATTTTATAGTCCAAGCCTATGAGTTAATAAGTGCACAACACAAGATGGTGGACATGTCTTGTTCAGTGTAGTCCAAAAAGAGTTTCCATCCAAGGATATCAGTGGACAAAGCATGACAAAAAGTCAAGAGGGTTGTTTTCCAAAATAAGCCTCCTCCACCTAAAAGCAGGAGACCACTTGTTGGAAATCCATTGCAGTAAAATACTCTTTCGAGCACAAAAGGTTGTTAGAATATTATACATCAAATCCATTTGCAAAGGTTTTTACATGTGAAAGCCATGGTGAAGTGTCTTCATGTTGTGTTTTTTCCTTCTTGTTGCTGCTCAGATAAGAATGCGGTATCGCCTCCCCTGCTGTCCTCAGCCTCCACTCTCAGAGACCACGCGGCGTTCTTCCAGTCCGAAGCCATGCGCCCGGCGAATGACCCCAAAGAGCGTGACCCCTCCCACGTACGCATGCTGAACGACGTGCTCCGTGATCTGGAAAAAAGCTTCATCATGCCACAGACACCGGCTGGAGTGTTCAGGTACACACTGGACAGACGAAGCTCCTGTCAGATTCTGTTTACTGTTGAGCAGTTTTCTACCAGCCCTGAGACGCTGTCTGCTTTTACATTTTGAAAAATGAATTAAATATTAAACATTCACGATATTAGTATAAAAAAAATTGAGAATATGACAAGAGATCCGCTATTTGCTTTCAGTAAAATTTATCTTGCTTCGCGGTTTTTTATGTACAAAATCTATCATGTTCTGCTTTAGTTAATAATTCACGATGGTTCAGAAGAGTCCGACAGGGTGAAAATAATTAGTTGTAAATTACTTTAAATTTGTTTTTGGCAAACTAGCAAGGAACTTTTTCTCTACGTATTTTTTCCTGTCTTCGCGTCATTAACTTTGGATTTCTGTTATTGAAGAGTCACTCATACACAGCAGCACAGCAGTGGGAGTTTAAACACTTTTTGCTCGTTGTTTTTCTTCCAGTCAGCCTTTAAGAAAAACGGATGCATTCATGAACACTTTCAACTGCACAGAGAACAGAAAGGAAATTGAGGGAGAAGCTTGTAAAATGTGTTTGTTAAATCTATTAGTTTTATTAGAATAAACTAAAATCATCTAAAAGCTGTCAGACAGTATGGATCCATGTCTACTGTTTGAGATTGTGCTGTACTGTCTGCAGGTCGTCTGCAGGGGACATGATTAAAATATTTATTATTTTGGGGGTCACCTGGACTGTAGCGTTCCTGTCCAAAAGAAATAGTTTTTCAGTACAATACAGTTTTTCAGCTGTCAATTCAGACAAGTCAAATATTAAGCAAACTTTAAGTTACATTTCATCAGAATTACAAATGAATAATCCAAATCAGGAGAGCACTAAGTATTCTTGCATGAAAGTGTTTCAGACAAGTTGATATGATTTACTTATTTATATCAACCCTAAATACCAAAAGATGTATATTTATGACAACATTGCACCTCCATTATGCATTGTCTCATTTAAATAAACAATCAATTCATAAAGTCATGGGCTTCTACTTCCGAAAGTAGATGAGCAGAATTTCTGCTTCGAAATATCCGAACATAGAATTAGAACTTCCATTCTAAAGTGATTCCTTCATGCAGAGGTTGGCTTAAAGTTTTCAGGACTTTTGATCACATGGACCTCGCTGCTAAATATAATCATTTAGAGTAAAACAGTTTTTTATCCATTGAAATGATCTGCTGTATTTATAGGTGAAGAGGGTGCAGTAGCACATTGATGCAGAGTCGTACAAATTGCTCCCATCTGCTGGACATGATGGGCATCGTTTTATTTTTAGTGCAACCTGCTTTGTAAATCTGCTACAGATATGAAGGAAAAGCAGGAATGAACAATGGACATTATAGTGATTTGTGAATGAATCCCAGAGATTTTGGGGGCTTGATGGACTCTTTGAATCTAAGTTTAAATATCATTAACAGTCAAAAGAAAATGTAGATACATCTGCACTACAAGGATTACAGTGCAGAGGCAGTGCTTAGTGGTCAACCAGATGGGGGATATTAATCCTGCATAAGGTGATTAAAAACAGAAAATAGTCAAAGTAAAGGTTCACTGCCACGGTTCCCTTATCAATAGTTTTCAGTTCCCAACAAATAGGAGGCAGTATTTTCTGACTAGAATATTATTAGGGCAGACAGCTCTGAAAATCCAATTTATTACAAAGTAAGATCAAGCAGATCTACATGATATGCTCTTTCATTTAATTCAGTTTAGCCCAATCGTTCTCTTAAAGTCTGAATTAATAACAATTAAAAAGCCATTCTGTGACACATATATCATTCCAAATCATGTTCCAGTGAAGGTCAAGCACTATTGAGTTTAGAATGTATAAGTGAAATGCCAGATTTGTAAATTTGACTAAAGGTCATCAGCTGAAGTAATTAGGTGATTGGTCAGTGTGTTCCACTTAAGGGCACATGGTTTTATTGAGTGAATAAATTGGTTTTAAATAACAAAACTAATTTTGACTGTGCTCCTACAGGGCACATTAAATGCTGTAAACAGAGATCTGAATGAATTCTTCCTTGACATATCCTCGTCTCACTGTTCTCTTTTGAGAGTCATTTATTAAATGCCAAAATAAAGGAGAGTGAAACGGTCACATGGTGTGTCATATATCCCCTGGAGTTATTTAAATTCATGACTTCATTTCAAAAGGTCTTCCAGTCGTCTGCCATCAAAGAGATAATTAAACGGGCCTTTATTAAATGTCAGCTGTTTAGCATGCAAAACTCTTTATTGTCAGAATATGGTGATAAAGCAATATTGTGGACTCTGATTGGTAGAATGTTACAGCAGCTGAATGAATGCGGGGTGGAGGTGCGGGGGAGGTGAATGCAGCTTTTCACAACCTTCTTTCAGGGTACACCTGTTTGGGTCCAATCAGCTGCCTGCTGCCCAGCAACAGTTTGTCCAGCTGCTACCAGCAACATTCAGAGCAACAGGTTGTTAGTCTGTGAGAAACAGCGAGAAAAAGGGGCTAACAAGCAGCGTCAGATGTATGTGAGCAGTGATCATTACGGTTGTGGTATTTACGATGATGATTTATATAAGTTCATATAAATAGGCTCACAGTTGAGACTGGCGCTCAACCAGCGAGCAACCGGTTCCACTTTAGTTTTATCGGACCACAGGACACGTCTCTGGAATGTTCTCTGTCCCTGTGTGCATTCGAAAACTTAATCTGACTTTTTATGTTTCTTTTTGGAGTAATGGTTTCTTCCTCACTGAGTTGCCTTCCAGCCCATGTCAGTACAGGGCAGATTTCACTGTGAATAACGACTCTGTCTCCCCAGCTTCAGCAGCATCTTCACAAGGTCTCTGGCTTTTTTTTTCTGGCATCCATCTACACATTCTGGACCAGAACCCGTCTCCTTCCTGAGGGGTGGGATGGTTGGGAATTTCCATCACGTCTACATTTGCGTATAATTGTTTGAAACAATGAACGCAGCTCCTTCGAGTGTCTAATAATTGTTCCAGAGGATGACCCTAACTGGAGCTGAAGGAAAAACAAAAAGTTCTGACCGAAATTTAGCAAATATTTTGTTTTCAGCTAAATGTGCTAGTTGAAGTCATAAAGAACTTTGTATTTGAATTAATCTTGATAAGAGATTAAATTTAATCCATCAGAACATTTGACCTTGAGGGTGGGGAAACTCACAGCTAACATATTGTCTTTGAACAGCTGTTCACAACGCTGTTGTTGTTAGTTTCCATCAATAAGATGGACGTCTGAAAGCAGAATAACTACTTAACCATGTGGGTAGTTATATTTCAACCACATGGGGTTGATATATAACACATATATGTGTTGATATATATGTGCTAATTTCCAAATATTTGTAATAGATGTAAAAACAGTACAGTAAAGCTCTTGTGAGCTGTTTAGTTTTTCTAGACAGCTTACAGCGTTACCATGTTTATGCTGCAATGCGTGCTGGATGGATGACATATGGCAGGTGTAACATAGTCCACATTGACTGTTTTAAAACTGATAATTGTAATTTCTACCATCATGATTTTAACATAATAACTTGACTGAATACCAAACTGAATTAGCTGTATTTTAATGCAGGGTGAACAGATGGGGCTCCAGGCTTAGCTAAGCCTGGCTTCTAGCCTGGTCTGGAGCAGGCTAGCTGCACTGGATAAATCACCATGGTAACTTATGCATTGCTGCTTTTGTGACCAGCAGCTACATCAACAGCAATCAGCAGCTACATTGTTGGATCAAAGTCATAATGTCTTTTTTTATGCATAACCTCACCTTTTTAAAGTTTCTCTCTGTGTTTTGTCTAATAAAACCTAAATTGTGACATTGAATTCAGCTCAGGCAGTTACACTGCTGCAGCAGGATTCTTTCTACTCATGAAATTCAGGATATTAAAGATAAGAGCTAAACAAATAGAGTTTTGCATAACTCTGTTGGAACTCTTCTCCTGATTCTAAAACGTCTGCAGTCTCCCCTCTCGCCCGTATGTAATTAAGAGGAAAAGTACGTAAGCCACACAGGATTCAACTGACTTGCGGGAAGGAACTTGAAATTACAGTCCAGCTTTGCTGCACCATCATGATAAAGAAAACCTTCTCCCTGGTAATTTTGTCTCTCTCTCAGTGAAATGAAGGGGGGAATAGTTGTGATTTAACCCCCCACCCCTCTGATTGTTTTTCAACTAGTTCTACATCTGGAGCAGAACAGGAACAACTAGAAAATTCCTGAAGAAATTTAACCGGGGCCTGCCAAAGTGTGCCTGTCGGCTTGGACCCAGCGTTCTGATGCTAATAATAATTATCAATCCTAAGCTTAGCTAAATTGTAGTCAATAACCTGTGGAGAGGCAGAAGCATGTTGACTAAGCTGTACTTGTACCATTCATAATGTTAAAATTAATGCATAAGCTAAAATTAGCTAAAATGCTCATGTTAGCGTGAAGGCTATCAGTAGTATGTGAGGCATCACTAGCATGTTGTCTGTCATTGACTTACTCCATTTAGTATACTAAACATGGCAAATAAGTAAGAAAGGCAGTTCATTCTATCCTGAGGAAAACAAACATAAAAAAGGCTAATATTATTGCACCGCCTAGGGCGGTGCACTAACGTGGAAGGGATAGTGAAGCTTTTATTTTGAAACTGCCAGTAAGCTTCATTTTAAATGACCACACTAATTCAATGTGAAACAGTAGTTTGGTTAAAACAGTCATGTAAATCCTAACAGACCAATGGGCTCTTTGCACCTACGGCGTTGACGTCACATCTCCAGGAGCTAATGTGGCTCACTTGTTTCCACTTTGAGTTACCATGAGTGGTAGAAAATATCAGCGTCTCACCGCTGATACCAGGACATTCATTTTCTTTTCGTTAGCTCCGATAGCTTAGCCTCCTCGCGTTGTTTCCAAGCAGGAAAATAGTGAAACGAAAGTCCGTTTTCCATCTTTTTACCATTTCAGTCGTGTGATCGGACATTACATACAATAACGCAGCA